TCAAGAGCAACAAAAAGGGCTTCTATCAGCATGTGAAAAGGAAGAGGAAGGGGAGATAAGTAGTGGGACCACTAAATAAGGAGGAAGGAGATCCAGTGACTAATATGAGGGAACAGGCACAGATGCTAAATGACTATTTTGCCTCTGTGTTCTCTCCAAAGTAGGACAGGGGAGATCCGCATAGGAACATTAGATGAGGCCCTGGACTTAGGGGCACACATTAGAGTCACCCCCTAGAGGTCGAGGGGCTCCTCAGGGAATTGGACATTATGAAGGCCCCAGGCCCTGACGGGTTACACCCAAGAGTACTTCAAGAGTTGGCAGGGGTTTTCTCATGCCCGCTGGCCTCCATTTTTGAGGCCTCGTGGAGAACAGGTTAAGTTCCAGAGGATTGGAGGGTGGCGTCAGTGGTCTCAATTTTCAAAAAGGGTAATAGAAGGGACATGGAGAGTTCACCGTATGTCCATTGTAGGAAAAACAATGGAAAGGCTCATAATAGAGAGAGATCTAGTGATGCTAGACAGGGAAGGGAGGCTGGCAGCCACACAACATGGCTTCCGTAAAAACAGGTCCTGCCAGACAAACCTTGTGGAATTCTACGACAAGGTTTCGAGGTGGCTAGATGGAGGGGATGCAGTGGATGTGGTTTACCTGGATTTCAGCAAGGCCTTTGACAAAGTGCCCCATGATATCCTGGTTGAGAAAATGAGGAGTTTTGGGATACGCCAAAGCACTGTACGATGGATTAGGGCATGGTTGACTGACCGAAAGCAGAGGGTAATCATTAGAGGGGAATCATCGGGATGGCAGCCAGTGACAAGCGGGGTCCCCCAGGGCTCTGTCCTGGGGCCGATCCTGTTTAATCTCTTCATCAATGACATGGAAGACGGGGTGAACAGTCTGCTGATCAAATTCTCAGATGATAATAAAAACTGGAGCAGTGGCTACAACTGAAGAGAAGGTACTCCAGATACAAAAGGATAGACTATGGAAGTGAGCAGGGGACTACAGGATGACATTCAATGTGGATAAGTGCAAGGTCTTGCACTTGGGGCATAGGAGTAGGTGTCATAAGTACAGGTTAGGGGACAAGTGGCTGGAGAGCAGCACTTGTGAAAGAGCCCTTGGGGTGCTGGTTGACTGCAGGCTAAACATGAGTCAGCAGTGTGATGCAGTGGTTAAGACGACAAACGCCACCCTTGGTTGCATAGCCAGAAGTGTGGCTTCCAGATCGAGAGAAGTATTACCGGCCACCAACCTTGTGGTCCTATGCTGGCTATATCCTTCCTGTAATGAGGGGCCCATTATATGACTATACGACTCTGGTGTGCCTGCAACTGGAATATTGTGCTCATTTTTGGGCCCCTCATTACAGGAAGGATATAGCCAGCATAGGACCACAAGGTTGGTGGCCAGTTTGCAAGGGATGCCATATGAGGCGAGACTGAGGGAACTGGGTCTCTTCAGCCTGGAGAAGAGGAGACTCAGAGGGGATCTGTTGGCAACATACAGGTATGTGAGGGGATGTCACACGGAGGTGGGTAGAGACCTGTTCTCTGCTGCAGAGGAAGGCAGGACATGCTCCAACGGAGCAAAGCTCAGGGAACCAAGGTTACATTTAGATGCCAGGAAGCACTTCCTGACAGTTAGGACCCCAAGGGTATGGAATGGGCTTCCACGGGAGATGGTTGAGGTCCCATTGGTGATGGTGTTCAAGGATAGGTTAAACATGCACATTGTGGGCATGTCATGAGCGGAGCCGACTGGAACCGGAGGTCAGACTAGATGGCCCAGGAGACCCCTTCTGACTCGCTCTGTTTCTATGTTTCTGTGTTTCTAATTGAATGGGGCAGAAGGAGAGCCCTGCATGGATCTGTTTCCAGATGCATTTGGAAAAATATCCCCATGGCGTTCAAAAGCAGTCCTCCTGTTATGTCAGCAGCCTCTGGTATTGAGAGATACACTGTCCTAGCAGCGGTGGTTTCATTTAGCTATCATAGCTCATACTTGGAGTCAAAGATGCATTCGAATGGAAGACTCTCAATGGCTACTAGTCATGATGGCCTCCATGTTCAGGGGCAACATGCCTCTGAATCCTGTTGTGTGGAAGCAATGCCAAGAGAGCCCTTTTTGGTCTGATTTCTTGACAGTGGGCTTTCCAGATTCTTCCTGGTCACTGTGGAAATATAAAGCTGGACTAGATCAACTTTGGTCTCATCCAGCAGGACTCTTCATATGTTCTGCTAATTAGTCATCAGCAAGAAACTTCTGCATATTAGACATCTTAGCCGCATCTCATGAAATTGCAGTTTAAACTGAAAATCCAATAGACTTTGACACAAGGCATGAAGCAGTACTGACTTAACAAGAATATGAAATTGACTTCCCTAACATGGCATGCAGAGGTACAGCAGCAGTTGGGGGGCAGCTGTTGGGGGGCATCAGAGCATCTCTTGTGAGGTATACCGAGCTGGTGAGAGCAGCAGCTGTCTGGGAAGAAATGGGGAGGCTAATGAAGGAGAGCAGAGGATTGGAGAAGGCAGTAGTTGAGGTACACAAAGGACTGCGTGTACAAAATGTATGAAGAAGATAGCAGTATGGTCTTGAGGATAAATGGAAGGCTGGCTTTTATGTATCAAGATGTGTCAAACACAGTATAAGTGCAATATGCTATTCCAAGCTGCTACATGTAATTGCACTCTCTTGTCTTGTTTCCTTTCTTGTGCCTGTTTCTGAACTTTTCTGCAAAAGGCTTTTCTTGTGCACTTGTGTTTCCATTTTTGTTTATGGGCTCTTTAGAAAATGTTGTGATTCTCCAGTTTGACTTCTGGTTTTTCAGAGTATTTTTCTGAGGTATTATAGAATGGGGAAATGAGGTATATCACAATGAAGAAATTGTGCTCTAATGCACCTTTCTGGTATAGGGCAGCTCCACCTTCCTTGTGTTGTGGATCTCAGTGCTGTGATGAAATTGAAAGTAAGTACAGTGATTAACTGCAGGTCTGATAATCCCATAGAGAGAAACCAAATGTTGTAGGGACTTTTAAACAATATAGTTTCTCACAGTAGGGAAATGTTGTACCCTTTGATGCAACCCGACTAGGGGCACTACTTATGAGTGATCATGTAATAGTTGCAATTATTAGAATACTACTAAGTTAAATAAACTTTTATTCCATTTTGGGATAATTAAACATGTTTTCTGCTTCTACAACTTCTCATTAGTAGATGGTAGAAGTATAATGAGAAGAAAGGGTAGCAGCGAATCACACAAATTAACATCCTAGGAAGTTTTCCTTGTCCCCTGTTTGCAACCCAACACAGTAAAATGCATCCAGCCACCAAATTATTTTGGTACTTGAGGAAAAACTGAGAGACATGCAGCTATCCTTGGAGTCCACTCCTTGCGGGGGGGGGGGGGAATATCAGTCACCACTTTGCCAATTTAAGACTGCTACATTGTTTATTTTTGTTCTATACCTTTGTGTAAGGTCTGAAACTGATCTGGGTAGCACCTGGGATTTATATTTTCAACCATGTTTGTTTGTCTCAGCAATTCTAGATGAAACCTGTGTAACACCTGGTAGTGCCTAATACAGGGAACAGTGTGGTTTGTGATATCTTAGGCGGTAGACAAAAGTTGCTTGGAGAATCAAGGCCTACTAAATGCTTTCTGGATCATTGGCTTTTCTAGTTAATAAATATTCCAGGTTGTTGTGTGACCCTCAAAAGCTTCAACAGGCAGCTGGTTGAGTTGGAAGGGTAACATATTCAGGCTGTGTTGTAAAAACACACATACATGGCCATCTTCATCTCAAATAAGGAAGGGGAATCTAAGAACAAAATCATTCTGGGTTGTTGACAGTGGGTGTGGTGCTGACATGAATTTGTATTTAGTAACAGCTGTGACATAAGATTAGTTGCACACACCTGAAGATGAAGTGAAGACTTATCTAATTCCACTGATACTGCAATAGCACTCTTGTTCAAATGGCAATACAAATAAGATTTTTATTAGTATCCTAGTTGACTTGCTCCATTAAAAGTTGTTCAAAAGAGTATAAATTCTTTGAACTGATAGTACTTTTATGTCTATCCCAGTCTTTTTAACCTGAATTCTGGAGCAATTAAAGTGTGAATAAGCTTCCCTGCACTACTGTACATAGAAAGAAACTGATGCAATAACAGATCAGGAATAAAATATATTACTTGAAGGCTGCACAAAATTTAAAAGTGCTTTTTCTGTGGAATTCATATTTTATATATTATATTAATGATCACATCTTGGCTTTGGCAAGATTCTATTACAAACATTTTAAATTTTTTCCTAGGCTTCTAAAAGTGAATTGGCAGCATTAGAAACAGTTACAAAACAAACATATTTCAAAAAAATAAATTCTAAACTTAAATTTCAGGATGATTAAATTTTAGGTGTTTCTAGAACAATAAGTCACAGGGAGAAGTTTAACTCTAAAGCTGGCACAACATACAGGAATTTATTTATTTATTTATTTATTTATAGCCTATGAATGGAATATTAGCTGTAGGCTATACTGCTTAATTTTTTATTCCATAATAAAAGGTTCATAATTAAACACATGTGTGTGTGTGTGCACACGCACACACACAATGTGAAAGCCCATATTGTACACATGAATACACCTGCATGCTGACAAAAAGGCAAATACAGAAGTTCCAGCAAGCAGAATCAGTTTCTTGTAGCAGGTTTATTCAATGTCCAGTGGATTGACAATACTAAATAATGAAGGTATGTAGAGATTTTAGAAATGGTTTATGGCAAGTTGGAAGGAGCAGAGGGCGCAAGCAGACATGAAAAATATCCCTGCCCATGGTAAACATCCATACTTTAGTGTTATTATTGAGAAAAAACTCTCTCTCTCATTCCCTCTCCCCCTCCTGTTCTGTGTGTGTGTGTGTGTGTGTGCGCGCGCGCGTGCGCGCATATGTGTGTGTATCTTGTAGTTTGCTAGAATTTAATAAATAATGACAACTTATTATATATAAAACAATAGAAACATTTTATGCTACATGCATGTCATATAATTTAGACATAATAATTTATATGGCAGAGATATGCAGATCTATGTTCGTCCAATTTTCCTGGACAATGCACACACACAAGAGGTGTCTATTCTTATCCATCGCCAGGCTACAAGTTTATTGTTTTCTGAAGTCAATGCTCGCACAAATGTTTGTGAAGTTTTGCATTGGGAGTTCCAGTGCTTATCATCTATACCACGACAACCACTTTTGGCAGGTTTGGCTTGTTTACACCTTGTTTCATAAAAATATTGTTTGACTGGGGAAGGGCCCATTTTGATTTCTCCTAGTACTGTTACTTGGTGTCCTCTAATATCAATAGCTGAAGATTTGTCTGTGACCCATCGGCTTTCACTGTCACACACTGAATACTCCCCACGGTGACTCTTGCTTTCAGCAAACCTCTTTCTCCGAGATGTTCGGTTCACCACCACAGAACTACCAATGTAATCCTCCATAAGATACAATGGTGGGGGTTCCAGTGGGGTATTGTCACTAAAGAGGACCCTGGGGGAGCTGTAGCGTCTCTGCTGCCTCAAAAGTTCTGTGTCCATTTCAAGAACTGGTGGGAAATCCAATTTCACATTTTCATTGTCATCTATATCTGGCTCAATCGATTCTGTTTTCTTCATTGTATCTTGAACGCTATCCTTAATATCTAACATTTGTTTGGATTCTTTATTTTTCAAAATGTCTGCTTGAATCAGTTTTATAATGAGAGAATTTATTGAATCTTCTGGTAAATTCCCTTGATCCATGTTGGTAGACTGGATGCCACGGAGATAAGCAAAAAATAGCACATAAAACAAGATGGACATCACCTTGTTCACGTGTAAGATCTGAAAAAGAATTGAGAATCATCTTAGAGACAACCCAGGGAGCTTACTGGTAGCATCAGTTGGCTTGTCCCAGCTTTTTTCTTTAAAATACTTCAGAAATGCATTTTTTTACAATAAATTATAGGTGCAATCCTTTAAACCATAGCCTGGAACACAGACAAGGAATTTTTCAAGTTCAAGTTAATCTATATTGGAAGGTTGGACTATGGGTCCCGCAAGCTCATTATTATCTATTCTTCAGGACTCCAGTGGAATATTTCCAGCCCTGCTACTTTAGAGTCCTGTAGCCAGGAACTGAACACAGACCCTTCTGTGTGCAATGTACTTTACCACTATGTTATGGACAAAATATGCACTTTACCCTTATAAAATTGACTTAGCCTAGAATTGTGTACTCTCCAGAGTCCCATGTAGAAATTTTGCCAGCCTCAACATCTGAGGTTCTTTTCACTGGAACTGCCAACGATTCAACCCAGGACCTTATCCAGGTGAAGCACATGTGCTATCATAATAATGTGGCTTGTACCTATTTTAAAACCCATCTCAGCATCAAATGTGGTTGGTAATGTATCACTGGAATGGTTATAGTGTTGCTTGCTGCTATGCAAAAGAGAAGGCTGGGGAGAATAAATTATGATCTATGCACTGATATCAGGAGCATTTGGTTTGTTGCAATGCTTGGTTTATTAGTCAAACATAAGTTTAACTGATATAAATCAAAATTTTGCATTACAAAACTGGATCCATGGATATGTTCTAGAAACTACATTGAAGGGAAAAAGTCTTCACTTGTATTAGTAATATCTGGCTGAAACTAGATTTTATAGTAGAGATGTGACTAACACTGAAATGAATAATTCCACTTCTATCTACCATTTTCCCTATAACAACTAGGAATAATCAATATTTAACGTATGTGGAATATGAGTTTTGCACCCTACAAACAGTAGCTAATGAAACAGAGAGAAAAAAACTCAGAGCCTGATGATGTCACACAGAACATTAGTGGGCAGAAGATAAACAACGATCAATTGAGAAACTGGTGTCTCCTGGTTGCTGGTGTTTTATGAAGAATGTTATGTCCAAGTATTGGTGTGAACAGCAAGGCAGTTCTGAGATACTCAGCAAGAGGATGTATTCAAAGCTCTTAACAGTTATATCTGTAAAACACCTGGACTAGATTCAGACTATGTTGCTTACATTCAATAAGAATTAAATTAGTCATGACTGTTTTGGTGGGACTAAAGTATGATTAACTAACCAATTCAACTAGCAGTCCTGCTCTGTAATTTGGCATATCATGGACATTCTAGTTGGGTGGGGTGGGGGTGGGGGAGGGGAGGGGA